GCCATAAGGTAAAATGTGAGTAAATCAGTGCAAAGTAGCCCTGCACCACAGTCGAAATGAATGCGGAAGATCCACGTCATTGTTGCCCTTACACTAACTCCTTTCAAAGGATATCCTGAAGATAGTATCCAATTTTCATCGTGTGATAAAGTAATTTTCGCTTGGAAGACCAACTAACACAAACTAAACGGTGTACTTACTAGCCCTGTCCGTAAAATTGCTGTGGGAAAGTCAGCAGTTATTTCATTGTGAACAGCAAATGAGTCAACTAATGCCCTAATGTAACCATCACCTGTCGAACGTTGAATTACGCGTAGCCATTGATCCCAAATATAGAACAGGTTTGGATGGCAATAACTACGGCACTATTAAAGAATATACAATTATGTAAATTGTGCATGCCTCAGTTGTTCAGAATCCCGTGGTATCGAAGTCAACAGCAACATGCAGTTACGTAACGAAAAGGAAAACGCGGTTAAAGCAGACAGCCTGATGACAAGTGAGCACACCAAAGACGTGTGGAAGTGTTAGCAAGAGCACTGACCAATCATTGACGTCCTGAGCACAAAGTGAGGGGTTTTTACAGAAAGCACACATACAAATAAAAATGATCGAATTTGATGACCTGAGCGTCACTCAGAGAAAGCGGTAACTATGTTATAATGCCGTGACGATAACGACGTCATACATAGTGCATGGGGCGTCTGTGACCGAGGAAACAAAATCAATTAAGGTAAACTATCCTTAATGAAAGAAGTGGAACCACAGGACAAGAGTGTGGGGCTACGAATTTGACAGTTACCAAGGTAAGTACACTGGAGGGGGTATGAAAATGATCTCCTTAATCTGGTCATTTGAGTACATGGTTCGGTGCATCAGCGCTCACGATTAGAAGTCATGTGAACGGAAAACTACACTCCAAATGCCAACTGAAAGCAGTTTCCAAATAAATTTTCCAATCATGCAAGATCTCGGTGCACATACTTTTCATTTGACCTCTTTGTAATTACTGCGGTCGTACTGCGGGACTTGTCAGGCATTGACATTTTGCCCTTTACAAAGCATTGTTCGTGGTTCCTCTCTTCATCCGCTTAATTAAAAATGGATGCAGCACTATCTACGCATCGAAATGGAAAACTTTCGACGGCTTATATCGCCATTCGATTTGAGCTAAATTTGCTCCTCAAAGAGGAAAATAAACATTTCGTCCGAGATGAACTGCAATATTGTAATTGATTATTCTTGCGTTATTTAACATCTAACCAACTTCAAAGTAATCACGAAGTAACACTTGAGTCATGCTTTTCAAATTCACACTGACGGAAAATCATAAGCCACCTGAAAACTACTGGCCAGCCATTTATCAGTAACGCCATTCACCAGCGGCGGGTCACCACATAGAACCAAATGGAATTACGTTAGCTGCGGAAACTATAATCAAACATATATAAGGCGACCACTCAAGAGACCAACAAAAGGTGCTCGCCATGGACAGGTGGTCGCCATAGACAGGTTCATGCATGGACACTACTCGTAGGAGAAAACATTGATCGTTTCGGTTAATCGCCAAAGAGGTGGTCGCCGTAGCAGGTTGGACTGCATCCAAGGTGACACCCTTTTGCGTCACGTTGGTTTAGTTGCTTCCAAGTATTGTAGAGCATAGAAAACCTAGTTGCTGAGGTTCTCACAAATCCGCAATTAGAATGCTTCTCAAGTTAGCTAGAAATCATACTGCGTTCACCGATCTCAGAATGATCTCTGAGCAAAGAATATATATAGATCAGTGCTTCCAAACAGTTTCGAGTGAATGATGGAAGTTTAATTTCAGAGGTATGCCTTGTGGATGGAACAAGCAATCATCAGTAGTACATCTTCTGAGAGACTTACAATGCCCACTAATTGAGGACGACTATGAGTACAACTAGGAGGAGAGTTCATGATAAGCTACGTTGGTAAATATAGCTAGCGCTGCCGTCCAAATGCCGTTAAATGATTTCATCTTCCGCTTTCCTATCAGTGAGCGTTCGTCAATAAGCTGAACACCCATAAGCACTCCGAGCTCTAAAACCGGGAAATTCCGGACTGTTATTTCATTGTCTGCACATTAAAGTTGAAAACCATTTCCCTAACTGTGATCTTAGTTTACTTACGCATCGCGAACCATTTATCCCTTTTTCCCGTTGGGACTTGAATTTTGTACCAATGCTCCAGCTTCAGCTACAAGGGATACCACCGTGACGCCTCCGAGGCATTTTCAAAACGCCCAGTAGTCAGCATCAGATCTCTTTCCAGGTGGCATCGCTGTTAACTGTCACTCAGCATGACAAGCAATTTTATCGAAATGCTTAACAAACATTGTGTCGTCTTCAGAAAAATGGAAATGCACTGCACTGCAGCTTCCGTGAAATTTAGCTGCTACCCTTCGTAATTTCTGTAACATGTGTGTGTGAATATTTCGTTCGGATCTTCCCAAAAGGTTGCTTACGTTACTGTACGTTGATTAAGGTTGAAAAGCGTAAGATCAGTTATTCCTGTGGTACACAGCAGCTCCTACTGTAAAATGGTGCAGATTAACCGTACACAAAAAATTAGCCAAAGCACTGCATCCAGCATGTCAAGAAATAAGTTCCCATATATATATATATATATATATATATATATATATATATATATATATATATATGGTTGGCGGCATCCGGTTTCGGATTTGCCTGTCACTGTGGCAAGCCACAGGACGCCTGCGCCTACAGAGGGACCAGGGATGGCTTACGCTGCACCACCCACAGCTCCATCCACACACCCCATATCCAGTGTAAACCCAAAGGAATAAGACCGGGAGGCATGCGGATGGGAGCCACGTTTCATCAACGGAGCTGGTTGACACTCCTTCACAGATAAACACAAGCACACTGTATTTGGAGAATCAAGTGCACACAAGGCGGTGGCTGGACGGTAGTCGGCTCCACACTGAGTGCGTGAAACCGCTCTTTGAGTCTAGCACGGCTACAAGGACCGTGCACCCCGTCCCCTCCAGCAACGGTCAGCTGCGTCCTGGAGCCAGTATGGACGAGGTAGTGGGTAATAAACAGGTATTCACCTTGTCAATATGCACATCAAGCGCAGCCACACCTGGGATGTCAAACAACAGACAATCATTCGAAATGTCAATATCGAATAAACTAAACACATATGACGACATAAATACTCGCTAAATGAGCATACAGAAGAAATTGGTTATAAGTGAATCCGTGATAAGTACAAAATGTCTGAGTTGTTTAAAAAATACCACGCGATACAATTACGCAAGTTTACCAAAATTTGCATGCGCGACGTGTGCAATTTGGGAGAAGATTATCAAGTATGCAGAACAAATCAAATAAAATGTAATGTATTTTATCCACATTAAAAAGACCTTGTTTAAGTGTAAGTAGGTTTAGCCAAACTGCGGTGAAGTAGCATCATGAATGCAACATCAGCCTTCAGCATGGGGCACCTATATATATATATATATATATATATATATATATATATATGTATGTATATATATATAAAGGATAGTTAATTAAATTGCATGGAAGATGCCACTGACAGTGCGACGTAGGTATATTTTTCTGAGCATGCCACAAACTTTATTTAGAACATTTCGGTAAAATAGCCACATGTCAACCTTTTTGATAGTGCTGTGTCAACAAATCTTCGGTCGCAATGTTTTGATGTTTCCGCACTTAGTGGACATATTTGTGTGATTTTCCGAAATCTCTCTCATGATCTAAGAAGTCAATCTATCAGTCTTACCCTCTAACTACAGGATGAGAAGTGATATAATGAATTCTGTGCTACGACATAAATGTGCACTTCACAGTGTAGGCAAAATATGTATGATCTTCTTTGGTCGCCAGCGCTTGCAATGTATTCTTGATATATTATTGAAGCACAGAGCGGTTTATGGTATAAAATCTACTCCCAGCTAGAATACTTGCTACAATTGAAAAATCTACTTTGGCCCGGTCATGTTCTCTGTATACTTCTTGACTGCGTACATCTACATACATTGTGTACTGCCGCCACACCTGACACAGTGAAATCGAAGGGTTTCCATATGAACGACTGCTATAAATGTAGGAACTAATCTGGGAGCTTTGATCGGACTGGATTGTGTTGTACTCCTGGACAGGGGCTCAGTAATGAGCAAAATTAGTAGCCGAAAGTCTTATCCGATATGATGGAATTGTCTAGTAATGACCCTGTTGCATTCACCCTTTTTCCCACTGACTTTGACCTGTTAACCTAGCCTATTAACAAACCTTATCCATAAGTTTTCGTCGTTTCATTTAGTTTGTTTATGGCCATTTTCCCATATGCTAATCATTGTTTTCATGATGGTTCCAATAATAACAACTAGTATCTCTACACTTTTCTGTATAAAGTTTGATGGCTTGACCGAACCGAAATGGTGCTGTAACTGCTCTGACAAAATGCGGGGAACGTCACGTTGGTTCAGCTACAGAGCATAACGCGAAGAATACGGATGAGCATAGCGGCAACAATGTAACACATAAAAATTCCTCATTCCTGAGACTTGATAAACGCAACTAGGCGTGTGTCCCTTGTTCTAAGTTCACGGCAAGAGACTTTTCCTTCATAGAGGTCAGTGTAAAGGGAAGAGTCCAGCGAGGTTTGGACGCCGGTTATTCCATTCTGCAGGTTTTATTGAATGCTTCTGACTCCGACCTATGTCAATCTCCTATAGCTATCTGCCCTCAACCGCTTAAGGTGTTATACACAACAAGGAAGTAGTTGAAGCAAGGCGAATTCCCGATGCACACACCACTAAATGTAATTCTTACCCCCATAATAACGATACACCTAGTCTCAGCTGACACCGCTGACCTCGCTGCTCATTACTTTTTCGGTACGTCATAAATATCATTTATCCTTCGTAGGTACTCTTGGTATTCCCGTTCACAGGTCATCGAAACCGGCTGGACAATGTCAATAAGAAATTTGCCTTGCGAATGCCAGCCAAAACAACACGTCATGTTCACAATAAGGTTTATTCATCAGTAAATTTTATTTCATTTAAGTGAGCTGCTCTATAAAGCATCGACAGCGTGAGCTAAAATTTTGCAACAATGCAACCAATCTGAAATAATTTGCTGGCGCTTACTGCATAAGTGACATGGTGTCCTCAATTGCCAGTTCCCAAATGTCCGCATTAATTATTCCTTGCATAGATCTAAGAAGGCTTAGCAAAATCAATTAGCCTTCGGAAATTTTTGGTGGTTATGGCCATGCACCAATCACATCGCAATTATATGCTACAAGGAGGTTCAATATGTCTAATCTAGTTAATTAACACGGGAGAAAAAGCATGTCCAGAAATCAAAGTTGTCATTCGCAAAAGAGCGGCCGGATTGTGAACTTCCGTATGCACTGCTGATATGCTTAAAATGATCCATTGAATCACGGGGTCCTAGTATTCTGCCCGCCTACGTCCAGTTCCGTCAAAGTTGAAATAGAAATGTCATGGATAGAAATGTTGTCGGTTTTTAACATGTCTGCTGCTCCGGTGGGTCAAAAATCGTCATCATCTGCTTCTTTGGAAATCGACAGAGATTTTGAATTGATTTTTGATGAGGATTTCTTCAGTTGTGAATCATCTCGTCGAAGTTGCTCCTCAAGAACGTTGTAGCGAGTGACTTGTGCACCGAATGCATTGTTTATTTCATCTGTAATGTCATCGTCTCCTTCGTCTTCTCCGTCATTATCATCGACATCTTCCTCATTGCTGAGGTGATCCTGTGTAAAAGCATGAGTAAGTGCTCAAGATAGGTATTCAAATAAGATGTAGATTCCAACAAGAGTAAAACAGTGGACTCAGCGAAAACATCAAGTAGTAACAGGTCACTCCCAATGCCCCCTGTGCACAAGAATAAGGAGCAACCCTCGAAATGTAACTGGCGTTCAAGTCACGTGGGATGAGGCACAGTCGAGTAACATGATTCATAATTACCATTCTATGTATAAAAAGTATGTGGAGTGGCCAGCTACAAAAATGCGGCTTTTCCAAACTCAAATTTAAATGTTTCAGTGGTCAGCATGCTTCGATATCACAACCAATTGATCAAAATTTGGAGCCGGACAGATCGCATTTGCTAGCAGCCATGCCACACATGGTAGCTCTATTGGGAACTCTCACTCTAAATCGTGTGTAACTGACGTGAGTAGCATCAACGTAAATACTATTATCACAAAGTGTATTGCCAAATATGGAAGCAGCTTCTTACTTGTTGAGAAAAATAAGCTTTATTATTATTATTACCGTATATTACCTAATATAAACCCGTCCATAAATGAGCCGACGGTATAAGTTCGCAAAATTAACTATGCATCTGTATTAGCCGACCCATAAAAACAAATCAGCAAAAGAGAAACGAAATTGTTTCTCCATGATTTTGACGTCATCACTGGAGTGACTTCAATTGAAACCTGCTCTATTATTGGTCAGTTGTGGTGACCGTAATGTATTCTAATCGGGCTTACTGGGGCGTAGGGCCGTTAGAACAGACTTTCACCGCACCGGATAGTGTTTTGACTAGACGTCAAGTCACATGGAGCAGGTGAGATCGCCGAAAATAAGGGGTAAGATGAGAGCGGGTCCTCTTGCATTTGAATCAGAGTAGAGCAGCGGGTGGGCGCGAAGTTCAGGGTCAGAGGTTTGGGATGAGGTACTTTTAAGGCACCGGATTGCGTGGCATAACATAATGTTTAAGTAGATGGAAATTGGGTGTTGCCCACCCGAAAACACTGCACAACCACGACGCGTTTCGATGTAATTTCATCTCATCAGGTGGAGACAGCAGGCCTCGATTCCGCTACCATTGGAATAGTAGCCCACACCACTACCCATTTGGCTACCGGGTCACGGTGGGCAACGCTTTTTAGTCAGTTACCGTTGTGCCAAAAAGCGTTGCCCACCGTGACCCGGTAGCCAAATGGGTAGTGGTGTGGGCTACTATTCCAATGGTAGCGGGATCGAGGCCTGCTGTACCCACCTGATGAGATGAAATTGCATCGAAACGCGTCGTGGTTGTGCAGTGTTTTAGGGTGGGCAACACCCAATTTCCATCTACTTTGAATTCGGTCCTTGTGATCGCAGTGACTAAGGTTCATTTCAATGTGAATCACAGTCCATTACATTGAGGTTGCGTGTCGCAATCCAATCATACAACGTGTAGTCCAAACTTGACCCTCCAAATAATGTTTAAGTGTTTCTGTATCGCAACTGCTACCTGTCGAGAAAGTCAAACGTACAACATATCGAGAAATTTCGACACAACAGGAAGTTGTTCTGTTATAGGCACATGAAATCCCCGTCTGGAATACCGTTCTTCACACTAGCGGGTGAGGCTAAGGGGAGAAAACTGCAGTGGTTTCCAGTGAACGTTGGGTGGAGTTTGCAGATGCTATTTTTCAAATTCCCCACAACATAAAGGAAAGTTGTCCAAAAATCATCGGCTTATATTCGGTAATGTACCGTAAATGCAGCGAGGTTTGAAAAAATGACACTCGTACCCTGTTTCGTAAAAGGCGTTTCCTCATTTTGGTTCACATCGTGCTTACCAGGAAGTATGCTACCCTGATTGTTTAACCATTTATTGATATTTGGCTTATTGGGTTGAGAACAGGCTAACTATGGCAACCTGTATCAGCAGGACGGACCATATCTGTCCGCAACACCGTTTATCACAAGACTGCTGAGGGATACAACCTATCATAATAGTATCGGATTATTAAAGTCCGAAAAAGATGCGCATGCTGCTGATTATAGGCTTCAATGTCACGTTTTTCATGACCAGCAAGTAGTTCAGCGGAGCGCCGGTGACCGATGGTCCACTATTCTGTAGAAAGCTCTCAAGCGTCGTACACTTTGCGCGTCGCATGATGAGGCAGCTCTCACAATGAAAACTGCCTCACTTTAATTCGGCCTGGAAACACGATTAGTTCAGCCGTTTTAGCTGCAAGCCAAAAATGCCACGTAATGGCCTAGATACACTGAAAATAACAGTTGTCATAGATGCATTTCGAAAATGCAGGTCACCAATTGCAAGGTAAGCTGCAGCAAGGGGTTTTTAATACTGGACTTAACGCCGAAGAAACATCGACTTTTCTGCTGAGAAAATCATTGGACTTAGCCAAGATCTCCGTTTTCAGCAATCCATCTAACCAGCATCTTGCTCCTCAACCGATATCTCTCATTCTTAGTTTGTGGTATGCACGTATTGCAAAAGGCCATTAGTTCACAATGCTATATGTTAACTACCTACTAAACACTAGGTCACATATGCATCTGGAATGCGGTTCATTGCTTAGCCATATTGCAAGATGCATCTGTTTACTCTATTCTGCCCCCATTTGCCCTCAATCTAACACTTAGTTCACGTCCACAGACGATTACTGGCACTAGCTATTAGGTAAACGATCTACTCTCACGTTTTGATGAATGATAAAACAGCTCGTGCCAATACGCGAGATGTTGGAGGGTCAGTTAAAACCCATGACTTATCTGCAGCTCCTTCACCCTAGAACAATCACATAAGTTATTCAGCAATGTTTTCCTCTAGACTTACATTCTGTATTTTACCAAATTATCCCATTACGGACCAATGTGGTCTGCCTCCCAGTTCCTCTAGTGCAGCGGATCTCAACATTTTGGGGTTATTATCCACTCCTCCTCGGATTCACTATAAACAATTACCCCCACCAATTTCAGGTTAAAAGGCTAATTATCAATTAACTATTGTATTTTTGCTTTAAATAACGGAATATGATTGCTATTTTAATTACACTCGATCAATGAACTAAAGAAGGTACCTGTTTTTGGACAATTTGTTCTTAAATAATGAGGCGACGTACCTCAATAAGACGGCTGGTATTGCTTGGACCCAACAATCTTCTGGTATAGTTGCCGTGGTATTGGCTATTGCACACTGTAAGTCGTGCTCTAAGTTTCTTTCGGTTCTTTGCTTTTGTGTGCGATCCCTGATCAAGCATGAACAGATGTCAGTGGATATGCATCTGATGCAAAGATCCCTTCCAAGTTCGTCCTGCATGACAGCTTCCCATCGCCACTCTGTATCGATACGTCGTGAACACAAATAGTCTGTTTTGTGACTTCTACCCTGTAAACCTTCGCGTTCTTCCTCACCTGGTAGGCTGACCTATGCTCTTATCTCAGTGTTCACTCGACTGCAAACCGACCCGGCGAACGACTGCTTGACTCAAAAGACCAACGATCTAGGAGCGAGTCGATAGAGGTGCTTTCTAACTGTCATAGTTTGCAGGCCTCTATAGGTATTTTAAGCGATAATATCGACTACCGAACGTTGCCTAGTGCACTGACTTGCCACTAAGCATTAACCACCGAGGTCTAATCAGTAGTGGTTAGATAGTTCAAAGTTAGAGTTGGAGAATCCCCTGTGTGGTTGGGTTGTTACAAGCAAACTCTATTGAGACCTCGGTTCACTAGAGGTGGACCTCGGTCATTCCGATCACAAAGACCGTAAGTAAAATGGAAACCTTATAGTGTTGCTCATCCCAACACTGGCACCCCAATACCGCGGTTTCGTCCTGGTAAGGACTCATCAGTTGGAGATAGCCTGAGTTGGGCTGGAACTCAGAGCCTAGTGTCTCATGGTTGACGCCATAAGCACTATGCCAATGAGATCCGCGAGCAACGTTTGGTCCAGCGGAAACGAATGCAAAGTTGGGCTTGGAGTATCCGCTGGTGGTTTGGTTGCTACAAGCAACCTCTATTGAGACCTCGGTTCACTTGTGGTGGACCTCAGTCATTCCGATCACAAGGATCGAATGTGAAACGGAAATATTTTGGTGTTGCTCATCTCAACACTGGCGCCCTACGACCACGGTTTCGTCCTGGTGTGGACTCTCCAGATGAAGATAGCCTGAGCTGGGGTGGAAATCATTCTTCATTCTTCTTGTGTACACGTACTTTTGTCATTAGTTTTGTTTGGCAACATTTATGACCCAATTCTCGTACTTATACTTACTTCCTGTAAAAATTTCACTTACCTTTTCGGGGGAAATTAGCTTCAGGTTGGGAACCACCACCCCAGTGCAACAAACATTCAGGTGTATGACTAATGGTATCGAAATCTTATCTAATTCATGTTTGTCGTGCTTCCAGTTGCTGAGTTCCTGTGGGTGTTGTGGTGTTCTGAAGCTCAGCTAGAATTCTAAACAAAGCGGACAAATCAAGCTGCGTTCCGCAACCGGCCCCATGATTTCAAAATAAGCATTGAACATAGGTGGAAGCAAGACTTCCGCCGAGTGTTTACTGCGCATCAAGTGCTAAGTATGGACACTTTGTCGATGTTGATTACCCCCATGGTTGTTGTCAGTCATTTATAGTGTGCTTGTGGCCCAACCAATATCGGTCCAACGGTGGGGCACTTGTCCAACTGCCTTAATGAGCACCGCTCACGCTGGTTCCGTCACAATGACACAAGTGCTTTTAGAAAATTCAAATTGCTTCTGTCATTCATATTGATGGTTTACAAGTGGATCTAAACCCTGCCTTTCGAATAGCTTGCAAGGTCCCCCGCAACCATCGAAAGATTGGAGGAGAACGAGACCATTTACACCTTTTCTCAGTTAATTGCCTCCATAACGCTTTCAAAGTTAGCGTTAAGGAAATAAGTTTCGGCCATACATCTTTCAGAACTCGCCTTAAAAGTGAGCAATTGTTTTCCATGATTCATCTCCAGACCATTACAAGA